CACTTCAACCAATAAAAATGCTATCCTGATGAACAAACACCATAGAAAGCTTTGATAAAAATATCTTTCTTTACAACATCTGTTTTTCTTGTAGTTTCAATTTCATTCCTCGACGTGCAACTACGTAAAAATTTATGCATCTTTCGTGCTGTCTTTCTTACGTCAACTTTACTTTGTATTTGTGGAATAGAGCGTACTTTCTCCTGATGTAGCTAAGATGTTTTCAAATCGCATCCAGTATATATAGCCTACAGCTGTCCGAAAACCAAATCAATTTTGTGTTACTTAATTCAATTTTTCCTTATAACCTTATTGTATTGAATTTTTTGTAGCACTATACAAATAATTGCATTTTAACTTGGAAGGATATTTATATGTAGGTGTTCCATCTCCCAGTACAGTCCTCAAACTAACTGTGTGAAGAAGCTTGTCTATCACAGTAATGAAAGCAGGAATAATCTTGTCTGCATTATTCTTCATCGCTTTCTATTATTTTAGTAGAATTCAAGAACTCCAAATAGAAAAGCAAAGCACAATGAAGAACGACTGAAGCATTTCAATACCTTGAGGAGGTCAAGCCACTTGTCCATGCCACAAAAACGTGGCAAGCATGGAGAAAAACATTATGACAAAAACCTGTTTTGAATGGCGCCACTAGATCTACGTATATGAATACACAATCATACGAACCGATGTTTTTACAAATCGAGGTTTGCCTTCTGTTTAGAAATATTACATGCACACACGCAGCTTGAAGATGGAACTAAGAGTTCAAGGAAACACAACTCAGAAAGTTGCTGAAGAAAACGGAAATGTGGCGGGATCTTTAGGGTGAATTAATCAAAATATTTTATTGTACCTCGTTTGGGGGTATATAGAGGTAACATTTTGGTGAAATTTTATCATTTAGAAATTCTAATATTTAGTTTTCTTCTGAAGTTATTTTGTACGTAAAATTGAGCATCTATATATTTTTTTTGACTAGCACCGGATCTTCCACTGTAATAAGAAGTATTTAATTACAAAACTTTAACAGAGTTGTACGTATAAAGTTTTGAATTCTACTAAATTTGGCAGAAATCAGTGCATTCAACATGCAATTTTTTCTTCGCGATCTAAGTTTCTTTATTACTTGAATTTTACCTAGAATGACAACTAGCTTCACAATTTTCAATCAACTTTTCTAATGAACGCTGTATATTAAATGGTCTACTACATCTTGGGAAAGTGGCATCATATTCTGGTATTTTCAATTTAGATTGTAATAAAAGGCAGACTGCAGCACTTTATCCTTTATCCGAAAACTTTAAAAAGAAGGCTGTAGAATATCGTTATTATACATCATTCAATTAATCAAATTAAGCAAAGATTGTCACTTTAATTAAATGTACTGCTGTAACTTAGCAAACTCGCAAGTTTTGGTCCGGTTATGGAATTTCCGAAAAATATTATACTTCATTTCTTTAGCAATCGATTATATTCAGGTCTAAATAGTTTTCCAGGCCACATATTGTATTACGAATGTGATTACCATAAAGGCAGCCAGTCAACTGCATTTTCTGCTCAGTGGGAATGATGAATAATAGAAGCCATTGTCCATTGTTCACTACCTACCAGATGCTTCATTAGGCAATTCATCCATGTTGCGCTCGCTTTCATAAAAATTGAAATCATTAACCATTCCTGAATAAAAGAAAAAATGAGTACATTTAAACTTGTATAGACAAGTTCAGTTACGATTTACATATTTTTGAATTGGTACAAACTAGAATTTGAAGTCATCAGTTGTCTCACAACAGTTAAAACTCGGTTTTCAGTGGCTTCATTTAAGCAACGGGTTACCTGAGGCGAAAAAAATGGAGCTGCGGGCTGCTGGCAATAAAGGAGCTAAAGTAGAGCCCGAAACGTATTCACTTGTGTCTTCTGAAACAGGATAAGATAATACTAATAAAAAAATTTGTTTACACGTAGCTATTGCAACAGTTCATTCATTTACACGTGGTTATTTCAACAGTTCGTTGAACAGTTAGCACTGCAAAAATTGTTGATGGTATCAAGATGACCGTAAGTTTTTAATAATAACTTACACTCAACATCACTATGATCAGTATTTCTTCATAGCTTTTTCTTAAATGAGGACTTTTCTTTAGAGGTTCTACATCTGAATCTTTGTCAGAATCCAAACTACACGTGATTAAAATAAGTATAGTTGCAGATGCTACTTGTTCCATGGAGCATTGTTATGTGTATCAGGACGACAACAGATTGACTTTCGGGAAAAGAATTTATTAGTTTCTTCTAAATTCAATGTATATAAGCCCTATAACAATTATAATATCGCTGCCGAAAATGAATATCTGACTCTAATGTGTAATTTACTTGTATAAGTGAGTATCCTTATTCTGTAACCTTTCCAAGCAGTTTTTTCTGGAAAGTCAAGTCTCTTTGCTCTTGATCTAATGCTTGTTCGGGGCCAAAGGCATATTAGATTCTATAAAATTGTTTGCAAGACAATCTGTCACTAAATAGGAACAAAGAACCATACTTAGCTACAGAAAAAATAATCTTTTCTTTGAATATTGCACTTACACCATCACATGTTTCTATCCAACTTAACCTACTTTTCCTCGAGAAATTCAACAACAGCAAAGTTATTACTTAGCATCTAAAATCAAAGTCAATTAAAAAGGTTCTAGCAATGCTCTCTTATTAATGTTATGCAAAAGAATATTGCAAATAAATGAAATACAAGTGTGATTTTATGTGTCGATAAAGCAGCTCAATACGTATCTGAATCTAGAAATGTTGCGAAAGTTATCCAGCATTTTGATAAACATAACAAGCATTAATCAATGATAGCAATGCAAAATAGCCATAAACACACATTTGCCATTTGGGAAATCTATTTAAATAGCCTTTTCTCAATGTTATCTGTGGTGAGCACTTTCATGGATGTTCTTCTTTACAGGTTTTGTAAACACCAACCAATCGCGAATCACATGGCGTTGTGAACAGAGCCTCTGCATTCAAATAAATTCGACAAGAGAAAGTTTCATCTCCGTTCTCATTAGATTCACCTGTTTGCTCAACTTCTTCACCACAAGAAGACTCATTAAAAATGAACGCATTGTCCGTGGACTTAACATTACTTTTTATTCGGTCAGCCTGGTTGCAGTCTGGTCTGTACTTCATACAAGAAACTTGTTTTACAGGTATATTTCGTGGTGTTTGTAACAATTAAAGTACGAGCACAAGCAAGTAAACCTGGATAACCATTTTTTTAAGTAGGCCAAGCCAATTATGAAGAGCATTTTGCTTAATTTAAAAGTTGTTTGCCCATTTAACTAACCTTTCACTAAGTGTTGGGTCGGTATCCGTTTCAGATCCTGATGAGCTAGACTTACATGATCGGTAAAGATCTATGTCCTCACATGCGATTTGTTGAAGAGTGGCACAAATTTGTTTTTGGGTTTGTTCATTTTCGTCAGCTAAAGAGTCTCTGCCACTGTCAGGATTCACACTTATAAAGCAACTGTTTTGCAGCTGAAAATCTTCATCGTGTGATGGAAGAAAAAGTTCACTGTTGTTTTTCAGTGTCCTGTTGGCAGCTGCCAACTTCTTTTATATTGTGCTCGATTTCTTTTCATAAGGAACTATAAACAATAACGCTCAGACACACGTTTAACTTAAAAGTTCTTATTGATTTTATGGAAGTAATTTTATAAACGCAGCTCGAAATAGAACATAAAATAAATGCTTATATAAGAACAATACATTACGTTTATAGTAGAAGTAGTTAACTAATATATATATGTATATCATCGTAGGCTCATATTTTTTATTATATATTGTATTATGTCTAAAAATAGTTATAATACACTTTATAATAAAACAAACCGGGGGATCGTTTTTGAGGTAGTCAGTGGTAATAAACATAAAAAATAGAGGGTGAGCCTGTGATGATATACACATATACATTAATATAAATGTAATAAAAAAACAAGATATATTTAAACAAGTATATTTGAAAAAAAAGAAATATTTACTATACAATACACAATATTTCATTGGCAAAAGTCCAAAGTCCAATTTTTAAACGATATCATAGAAAGTTACATGTTTGTTCAAACCATTTACTTTATCATAGAAAGTCCAAAGTCCAATTTTATAATGACAGAAACTTTTCTTTATAATCATCATCAATATCATATTCATTTCAATAAAGCCTGTAAAAAAGTATACATGTTAAATATTTAGTCGTAACAATGTTAATAAATAAGAGTACATAAATGTCCTTACCAATAAATCCAGATGAAATTAATCACAAATACCATCACAGGAAACTGCAATTGATTAAAGTGCCCCTATCAGCAAAAACTTTTATTAGCGATATCAAAACTTGGTGTAATATCTAACGTGTCGGTGGAAAATTATTTCAATTTGGTCAAACTGTTTTCTTGTTTGGAGGTTTAAAGTTGCCTTTCAATGGACCTTGTCCGTCGTGGCATGAAGTCTGGGTCTAGCCAAATTCTGACGTCATCCAAGGTAGTTAATAGTGGAATCCCTTGCATGACTTCACAAAAGTAAGTCTTTCCCGACTTTTTTAACGACGGACAAGGTCCATTAAATGGGAAATTTTTGCTAACTTTTAATAGCAATAAAAATGGAACGATTTGACAAACCTAAAACCTTTTACTGATACGTTGAAAATCACGCCTAAATTAAATATTGCTATTAAAATTTTTGCCGAAAGGGCACTTTAAAGCTATTTAAATTCTTATATCAGTAATATGAGCCTAGTTTTTAAAAATTTTCGATAAAGTGTTGCAGTCTGTCTTATCCTAGAATTAAGGTTGAAAATACTGTAATATGATTATGCTAAGACATGGCAAGGTATAGCCTGTAGCACTTGATTAGAAACATGATGAAAAATTGAAAAGTTAGTTGTCACTGTTAGGCAGTACTGTGTGTAATCAAGAAACTTAGATTCAGAAGAGCAATTTACGTAATGTATACGCTGATTTATGCTAAATTTAATAATATATATAACTTTATTTATGTACAACTCTGTTGACGTTTTTTGATTAAATTTTTCATATTACATAGGTGGATCCAGCGTTTGCCAAAATAATTTATAGATGCTCCCTTTTAATTCAAGAAATCTTCCTAAAAATACTAAATATTTGAATTTCTAAATTATAAAATTATACCAATCAAGTTGTCTCTAAACTATTATTGAAACCCCAAACGAGGTACAATAAATAATTTTCATTGACGTACCCTAGATACGCCATTGGTATTGATGTATCAAAAAATTTCTAAATGGTAGCGTTATTGCTTATGGTAAATAGCTAGCTATTATACATAAACAAAATATTCAACAAATAAATTAATGATCTATCTTGCGATTGCTGCCTCAACTCCGTCTACGATTTCTGACAGCTATTGTTTCACTTTTATCTTCCTATTCAGTCTTCCATCAATGAATACTTTTAATCGTTTCAGTTTATATAATTTTCGTTTATGATTGCGCTCATTCATATCAAACTGTTCAAACATCTTTGCCAGGTCTTGTTTACAGCAAATTGTGGTCACGTGTATCCCTATCAAATAAAACAATTACACTTTGTCACCTGTACCTTTCAAATACGGTGTAGTGCTCACCATATGTCACCAATTAAGTCAAGGGTCATTTTACCAAACAAAGTTAATATAAGATTTATCCAACACCTAGAGGCATAAATTGTCAAGTGATGTTCATCCAAATGGTGCGATGGAACTGTTCTCTTCGCACTGTTAAATGTCGTAACGTTTACTCCGTTCTTATAATAATTAAAAATTGTTTGGTCCAGGGCTCTGGTAATAAATCGTTTCTACACATAATTATCTGTTTTGTGTGTTTTCTGGCATGAGTAGTCACCATAAAGTAGCTTAGCCTTCAAAATCAACATATGAAGAATTTGGCCGAGGAGAAAATTATTGATTGAAAAAGTAGTGTCCTTAAACTGGTTTTTCTTTTTAAGTTTCACTCGCTAATCAAAAGCAACAACAAAAGTTCATCTTTTTTTCGTATCTTAGCCTAAAAAATTTAGTCCCATAAACAAGATTCACGGTCGTAAGACTTCAAATTACAGAATTGATCTTGATGCACAAGTTCACATCAAACCATTTTAGGCGTTCAGTTTAAAGACTACTCTCCAGCAAATTCTTGAATTATTTAAATACTCCATGCATGTTTTCCAAAATGTTTTCACTTTCAGGCGACGTCAGTGACCTGAAACGTTTACGTACAGTGACGTCACTCAATCTTTTTAATTCAAATCTGACTACTCATCACTTCCTTACAGCTAAAATAAAAAGAATACTTACTGCACAAATCGTATAGCAATATTCAGAAGGATGGTTGGAAAAAATCGGATCGCCACTGGTTAATGCTATATGCAGTTGGTAAGTAGATGGAATTTTTCTTTTCTTTCAAAACCTTTAAAGGAAAAATTGTCACGGTATTAATAAAATACTTTGAGTCATTTGTAAATTGTCACTAGTAGACTGCAGTGCAGTTTTTTTGTAATTGCCCAGCAAAAAAGTGTAATTGCCTTTCATTCAATGCATAAAAAACATGGTGGCAGTTTTAAGCAAACAAAGATCTCCACAATTGCAATCTTCTGAAATTCAAGAATTTCATAAAATGTAAAGAATGTAATGTTTTTGTGGTTAATGTTTATGAAAGTTAGAAAATTGCAAAGATTGTAAACAGCGCTCGAACTTCGATAGTATTTCGTTGCAGTCTTTAAAATAAACTCACTCTCGTATGTTTATTCGTAAGCACTCGAAATTTTACTATTCCCCTGATGAATTGCTCTATCAATTAAATTATACGTTTATTCAATTGTAACCACGTTTCATCCTATCGAAGAAATACAACCAGCATTTTTGTATGCTCGAAGAAATCTATATTCCATGTACTCACCTATTTTTATGAATTCCATTTTTAAATCCAAGTGGCTTTGCAACTTGTGTTTTAGCTATATTTTTCTCTTCCTTACGCATGTAGGTCTTTTCTGGATTTTTTCTTTTTTGGGGTAACAATTTTTCATCTTGTCAGTTCGTTTGTTGCTTTTCTCCTGTGAAGCTTTTATCTGTTTTTTTTTGGTTGGCATAATGAGCGCCTAATGGTCATTTTCCCATGGATTCATTTCTGTTAGCTCATATTACATAATATCCTGATCTTTTTTTGGTTATTTTTTTGCTTAGAAGAAGGTCGATAGGAGGCTTTTGTTTTGGATGCTTGGTATGTTGGTACATATGCTGTGGGATGAGGTGTCAATGCCTTCTTGTTTGCCGTAAAATCTACATCTTGTAAGTTTATATGCTTCCTTATAACTTTATTATAATTGACTGGATGTGGGGAATTTGAGAATTTGGCTGACACTCACAACAAATTTTAAGTTTAAAGTCCATCAGCTACCTCCTCCCTATTTGAACAACTAAGATTTCCGTTATTTGCGTGACTTTGGATATATTCCGTTTTGCAAATGTCTGAATAGCAATCATCCCATTCATTACCAATGACGGAAATGCCATAAATTTTACCATCTTCATCATTTGTATAAGACAAAACAACAACCTGAGCAGAGAGGGCTTTTCAAAGTCTATCGGATCGTCTCTGCCATTAGTCCAATCATGAATTTTATTCCTTCATGTGATTCACCAAATTAACACAATGGCTTATGCTCTTCGTGTGATAAAGCAAAACACCTGCTTTACGCCCTGAATTTTAAAAGCATTCTTCACTTCTTCCAGTGAAAACCCTCGTTCGAGGAGTATTTCTTTAAAGAACTTTTTTTCATACAGGAAAGGAAGTACTTTCGGGCATGGCAACAAACCATCCATTTTCTCAAGTTTTTCTTGCCTTTTGGTCAACAAATTTTGCTGCAATTTCTGACACAACCTTGACATACAAAAAGGAACGCCTTCTTCGCGTAGCATCACTTGCAGAGCAACTAGACCGCATGACCGTTTGCAAAAAATCATTTTCCGTGGATCAAGACAGCATACCTATATAATTATAGTATATTTTACCATCGTAGCAAACTCGATAATTGGGGTTATTGAAGAAGATAATTGAGAAATTAGGATTGTCAATAGTTAGCAATATACGCATACTTCGTTGTCTGTTACCCGTTGTCGTTGCCTGTTGTCTGACTCGTTGCATTGTAAAGGAACTCTGTGAGAGTTGAGCATATTTGTCTAACAATAAATAAACAACAACAACAACATATTAAAAATATTCAACGTACATATGGACAGTTAGACTGTACGGTTTCTGTAATATCCATAAGCACGAATCGTAATTAAATAAACAAGATCAATGCAACCAGGAAAATGGAGAAGTAGCTACTACTGATGGAAAATAAAATCTTACTGCTATTAAAGTATGAAATTATGATCATGTAAAATAACGAGTTGCTACATTCTAAATTCTAAACAATACTTAATAACCAAGTTTAGAAATTTAAAATCATGATGATGGGCTGAAACCTAAATAGAATCAACAATTAAAAAGTGTAAAAGATCTATGAGTGAATATTACACAAAGACGAAGCCCGAGAACGGATAATTTGAGAAAAATATCATTGGCCATAGTTTGCAGCATGTTCACATACTTGATGGTCTATACATGATTCATTGTGCTCTAGTGGAAGACTTTCTCCCTCGGTCTTTAGTATATTTTAGACTACAATAAACAAAAACTTACATTAATTGATATAGAAAGCACATTTAGACTACAAATTTATCCATGCGCATGAACAGTCATTGGATAAGAAAAAGCATTGGCACATAGATGATGGGAGAAGTATACCATTTTTAGAATATGCATACTGACTGATACTGAAGTGCCTACAGAATTATGATTTTGTGTATCAATGAGTGAAATATTAAACAGTAGGGAACCCTTGGCTGTCTTTTTTTTTAATACTAAGCATTGGCCAAGATTAAACTTTTCAATCAAACAGTCTCGAATTTGACTGATTAAAAAAGCTGATGTAAGAGTCTATCTTCATATCAATCACTTTACTCACATCATTCACATTTTCTTCGTGTTCTTTGGATGTCAATAACAGTGATTCAGTTTCCTCAGTTGCCTCATGCTGAAAAGAGATCAATGAAAGTTATTTTGAATGAGAATCCTATACATAATTCTATGCCGATCAAGTAAAGACATACCGGTTGACCTTCATTTTCTTCGCCTTGTTCTGGCACACCTGTCGTCGTTTCCTGGACTATTTTCCGCTGCAATTGAAAAATATTTCTTAAAAAAATTCGTTCAAGAAGCAAAATGTTCGATTATTTACTGCCGTTTTCATATGCGTGAAATCGAATTTATGTATATCAAAAGGGAATTTATATGGTAAAATATGATGACATGGATCACACAAAAAACTTTTTACGAAGTTTAATTTTGCCGATAATGCTGTAATGTTATATTTATGCTTTTATTCACATATCGACATCACAGACTTTAAAAAAACACCAATTTAGAAATAAATAGCGAGCAGCGCTGCATCAGAAACGTGGCCCTGTAGCTCGACGCTCAACATAACCAAAAATATATGCTGTTCACCGGTCATATTATTTGCAAATTTTTGTCTTTTTCCGACATAGTCGATGAATTTTTCGACATCTACTATGTTATCCAGCATGATTTGCTTTTACTTAATTATTTCATACATTTTCTTAAATTTCTATATGTATCGTTGTGCTCATTTAATTGACCGTGACCTATTCTAACAACTTATAAAAGAAATACCTAATACTGATTTATTAAAGATTTTTTGCGCGCGCAGGCTCAAATACTATGTTTTCAAAGATGAAATCTTGTTGAAATAAGCGCTAACTTATCGAGATGCTCAAGCGATTGAATCAGTGTTCTCATGTATTCGTTGTAGAGTAAGTATAAACTTTGGTTTTACTGAGAATAATGAATTGTGTTGTTCTGCAAACCGCAGCTGATAATTTGAGTTTTTTATCAAAGATGAAGAGTAATACGACGTATTTGGCTACAAATTCGCACAAACAGTGTTTGACAGACTTTTTTTTATCAAAAATGAAAATTTACAAAATTACCTCTGTCTTCATATTGGCAAATTTATCGCGCATCTTTGATATGAGTTCATTTTCAAGCTTTTCAACTCTTCTTTTTCCGACTTTGCAAATTTCAATAATCGTTTGAAGGGGACGTCGAGATAAACTAATGTTTTCAGGTGCAACTTCCAACGACAGCGGTTCATGGATTGATCGTAAACATTCCAACTGCAATTCTATTTCGGCTACGATCTCCTTTTGCCTGGCAAACTGTAATTTTTTAGAAATATCTTTGTAAAAAGTGTCACCAATCATGTTTTAATCAAGAAGTAAAGATGTTTATTCTGTTTGCACATGCTTATGCAAGCAGAGGCGACGTTCTAGAGAACTATAAAACGGAAAAATTTAAAAAAACTGTTTCAATTTTTTCTCTGACATTTATTCATGATTGATTTGACAATTCTTTTTGATTTATTCAATTGATTTATCTCAGATCGGTTTGCACAGGCTGATAAAAATTCAGTGATTGACCAATCAGCGCACGCGTTTTGTTGTTTTTATTTTGCAAACATCCCTGTGCATGCAAATCAAGAGCATGAGTTTTTTCTCATTCTTCTTCTTTCTAAGATTTCTACGATTTTTGGACACTTCATGCGCCATAATAACTATTACGTCAGTACAAAAAAAATCAAAGAAAGATAAAAAAGACTTGAAAGCCTGCTATTGCTTAGCAGATACTATCAATTTTTAGCAAAACATACCCTGTGCAATATTATACGTATGCTCCTGAGATTTTAAGATACATTCTAATTCCAAGAGTTCAGCATATTACAATAATATGTGGTGTATATTCCATTAATCACGTTATCATATCCAGTTCAATCAATCAACCATAGAACGAATATTTATTGAGCTATGTCGTACATTAAGTCCTACGGAGGTAAAAAACCGTTTAAAGAGCATACAAACTGCAGTTACTACACCTTGCAAAATCAAAACATCTTGAATGAATAAATTATCAGCACGATATCCAGGCTTATTTTTTGCTGTCGGGTGATGTCAAAATTTTCAGGTTTTTGTTTACCACTTTTTACGAAAGTGATGTTTTCAATTGATTATTTAAGCTATGGTCCACCTTTTTTGTTGTTTACAAGAAAAAACACGAGTTCATGATGATTTTTCGATAATGTAATCATTATACATAGTTTCTGATTTCAAGAGTAAACTTTGAGCAAAAATTGACTGAAATTTTAGGACGTTTTTGATTAGTTATTTTGTATGTGTATGAAAGTGTATTACTGCCTGTTTCAATTTAGTTGTTATATTACATTAAATGCTACATTGAATGTGTAGATTTTATCACAAGACCATTATTTGGTCTTGCAGTAATTGGGAAATCCCCGAGAATGACCTAATTTAACTCGTTGGCAATCCATTGTTTTACCGTAAGTTGACGCCAAAACATTTACGTAGCTCAATTAAATAGGCAGCTGGCTACAAACTACTGGAAAATGAAGGTCAATAACTCTTACATGTTTACAGAAAGTCCTTTTCACAAATGAAGTTCATTTTTGACATTAAGTTTCAAGTGAAGTGGTGAGCGCTCAAGCATTCAATACACGGAATTGTTAATATTGCAATCACATTTTAACACTTTGATGAAAATACAGAAAGTTGCAAAATCAATGAAACCCATTTGATGTTATTACAGATATAGGGCCGTGAAAACTGACAGAAATGTGCTATGCTGTTGGATTTAAACTTGACACAAGAGCGTAGGAGGTAAAATTACTTAGGTAGCAATTTAGGCAAGTGACTTGCCTTTGCTAAAGAAAGGGCTTATGCAATATTTTACTATATTTCTTAATCCTTTTTGTGTCATAGTTGCTAAAAATTGCTATTTAGAGTACCTCATCAAGAAAATGCTGGTCCAATGTCGACGCTGCTGTCTTCATGGCCATCTTTACACCCGTACAGAGATCGACTTTCCTATATAAGATCATAAGAGTCCATTCAACTTTAACCATATTTGCACTGAAGTTTTCTAAGAAATTAATCAATGCTATATCATTTCAACTATGTATTACGTGCAGCATTTACAGCGAACTTCAAACCAAATGACGCAATATAAATTCACTATTTTACCTCGGGTGACACGAAGTAAAGTAATGGTTTTTTACTTACTTATTTCCTTTGAGTCACAGCACAATGTTTAAGAAGATGTGGTCAATCGAGAAAAATCCAAAATGCTTCTTCAATAAGTTATCTTGGTCTAGACAAGCCGACTCGTTGATATCTACTGTTAACTGCTTTGAAAATTTGACAATGAAATCATAAAATGAGCGCAGCATGATGTCAAGGTCACGTGAAACTGCATTTAATTCATTAGGTATAGAGTATCAATGTAATAATTTTTAAAAATTATAAAATTCTTGGGGTTGAAAACATGTTGTTTGTGGCGAAATTCTTCTCATAATAAAGAAACAAAAGACCAGAAAACAATTTTCCTCATTACTTTCAGGCGCTTGGGGAGGGGTTTGGCCTCCCTCACTTTTCTTCAAGATTATAAAACTTTTGCTAACACTATATATATTTATTTTAGCCTAACTTAAGGCCTTAACTTATGTTAGCCTTAAATTTTAGCCTAAAAAAGCAAGACGCAGTAAATTTACTAAATACAAATTCTAGCCTTCCCTCTCTAGGTTTACTTTGAGGCGCTGTCCATGTTAATCATTGGGCTCTTCCTACATTGGCAAATAACTACTTCGAAGTTTTAACGGCTATAATTAAATTTATATCGCCTATATTGTATATGAAATGATTTCTCCAATGATGGTGAAAATTTTGATACCACGAATAGAATATTTGTTTCATGAATGCGGTTGTCGTTAAATTGCGAGAAACCAATTGTCACCATAAAAACACATATAAAGAAAACTAGATTACTTACGCGTGCATCATTCTGCTTTGCTAATGTTTAAAGATTTGTCATCAAATCCGGCAGGGACGGAGGAGGGTTATTCCCCTCCCTCGCTCCTTATTAATTTTGCCGACGTTTTACTTTCTGAAATCAGCCCCCGCACGCTTACTTTTTAATCAACTTCTGTGGTAAGAAATTCCATATAAGAGAGGCAGAAGAATAATGTAAGAAAACATGGGACGCTAATAGTGTGTGAATTATATTATGATAGTCATATGCATTGAACAAAAGCCAGGCAAGATAGAATTGAGACCAATTGAAGGTTGGCGTTTTGGATTGATCGACTTGCCAAGCTAAACCCAGAGCGACTGATGTGTGTGTGTGATTGGCGACGAATTTAAGTACGTCAAAGTATATAGTTTCAGCTCTTGATAGTAACGCTGTGTACACTTAGAAGAGTGGCAAGGACACAATGAAAAATGCAGTAGAAATGCTGAGCTTTTAATTCGGAGTGGCGAGAACTTATGTCCCCGAGATAAGCTCGGTCATCCTACTCTTAGGCAAATTTTTTTAATTCACAGTTTTTCTACCAGATGAAATGTTAAAGATCTGTTAGAATAGTTTGTACACATCACAATCTCGTTCTATACAAAACACTTCGGTCCGATATTTCTCCAAAGGACAAAAATCCTCGCGCTTGGTCAACAAGTGATAATGGTTGATTACCACTAATATTTTGAGATAAAAATAGCTACTCAATGTTTGAAATACTCTCACTAAACTGAGTAAAGTACTTGTTTTAAGGACGTAAACATTCACAGAAATGGCGTAAAACGAATTTAAACTTCCGTTTTGAATTTGAAGACCATCTCACGAATTACTATAACACTTAGCGTATGTAGCAAAAGAAACAGGTAATCCAATTTTCTTAACAGATCTTTTCTGATGACCTCGAAGAAATCTTAACTCATTTCCTAAACCTTTTTTTTGAGACATTGTCCATCACAACATTTGTGTTTTGCGTTACGCAAGTCATTATATATGAAATGGTTATGAAGTACTCACGTCTTACGTTTGAGTAGCAGGACAACGTTTACAAGATTTGGTTGACAGTACGGAAAGCAAAAACGTCTTGAGCAAAGTATCTTATCCAAGCGCGCCGTCTTGCAACCACTCTGTTCGACGAATTGACGGATTTGACATACGTATGTAAAAATTTCTTTAAGAGCGCATATGGTAATTGGGTCACATGAAATAGCATTTAATATTAATAACAATTGATGAAATTTTATAAAGTTTTGAAGAATGTAAACATGTCAGTGTTAGGTAATGCTTCACGTAATAAAGATACCAAAAAACACAAAAACATTCAGATGACGTTTATTTGTTTCTTTCTATAACCATGTACACTTTGACGAATTTATTATTGAAATATTTTGCAAATATGTTGGAGTTTTGTTTAATTATGAGGTTATAAATCTTCGTGCTTGTGCAGAAATCGACTGTAAAAGCGAAAAACAAAGAAACTCTTTATTAGACAAAGAACTCTAACATGACAAACTTATTGCGCCCAAGAAATACAAGCTCTTTGCATTCCTAAAGTTGCGGGTGCTGTTATATTCTGAGCTTGGCTAACAAATTTTGGGAGTCTACGATTCTGTTGACGTTTAACAGCTATTGTGCCTTTTGGAATAAGTCTGAACTAGTTGGTAGACGAGCTCATGAAATGATGTCCAAATAGAGGTCAAGCCTCAATTTATACGAATATTGGTTTACATGATTGTACATTCATACGTAAATGGAGTTGAGTCACGCAAAACAGATCTTTCCTGCCATTGTCACAAAGTACTTTCCATGCCACGTCTTTAGTAGGGGAACAAAAACTTGACCTTCTCGAGATATTGAAACCTTCGGTCATTCATAGTTGTACTGGAAATCTTGCATTGTCATAGTCGTTTTGAGTTTTTGAATTCTACAAAAATGGCAGAAAACAGACGAGATGATTTCTGCTTTCATAACTAACAAAAGGTTTTATCACATATTGAGGACTGTATGCTGTAATGGAGAAAATACTAATTACATATATGCATGCATGCCCTTGTGAGTCACCGGCACAATTACTTGCATAATAAATTGATGGGACTAAATACAATAAGGTCATAATAGAAAATATAGAAACAACACAAAATTGAATTGGTTTAGTGTTCGTGCAGACGAAGGAACTTAAAAGAATCCATGCCATCGCAATGAGAAAAAAGCAATTCACCAGCAGACAAACAAATTACTGCATCTGAAGAATTAAAGCTGTGCTGTACACTGGAATATACGAGATTTGTGACTGTTATTCTGCTCAACGAATACGCAACGACACAATTTTTTAGACCACGTTTACACTATAGCGGATTGCTTTAGCATCGGATTGATTTCTTATACGATAGAAACTTTATGTGTGTTCACAAAAAATTGCCATTTGCTCGTTTAGCCGAAATTACAGCATGTGGTCGAACTCAAAAGAAATAAAAATTTGAAGTCTTCGTGGTTTTTCAATGAACTTCTTTACTACCTCATCATGCAATGTGTTGTCGAAACGTCAGTCTACAACAACAAAAACAGTCCTTCTCAGGACTTTATTAACCTGGACGATCATCATTTACTAACATATAACGATACTCCCGGGTTGAAACCATTTACTTTAGTAAGCATACTTTGTTGTTCATGTGAACAATCAACAACATAAATAATTTCGTTTTTATTTTGTTTTAGATAAATTTTTCCTTCTATTGATTGCAATGCTGCCCTTAAATCATAATCCAAACTAGAGAAAGCAGCTTTTAAAAAAGAAGATCTACATTTCATTGAAATTTGGCGTGTCTTGTATGCTATTTTTATTATGTTTTGTTAATACTTGCGCTATATTTAATACAATCAACATAAACCAATCTACAACTCAAATTTACCATTGCAAATCTGAGTCAAATGCCATAAAATAGCAGTACTGTGATAACAGGGGCGGATCTAGGATTTTTCAAACATCAGTCATAAAACGTCGGAGGTGCTCTGCACCTGGGGGGGTCTGAGGCATTCTCCCCTGAGAAATTTTGAATTTCAGAGCCTTGAAAATGCCATTTTCAGCGTTTTAGAGCAATACAAAATGTATTTTGTGGGCATCGTTTTGCGTAAAACAACACATTTTTCTTACGTTTTTCAAAAAAAATAAAGTGAACAATACTTGAATGTTTTGCCAAATATTTAGGCTCATTATCATGCCAAAATATGGCTCATTAGCATGCCAAATATATGGCTCATTAGCATGTCTAGGAACGTAAATTTATTTTACAATAATGCTATTCAAAAACAGATATATTCTTTAAAATTTCTACCAAGTTGTCAGGCATAGACCCCCATTCAAACCTCTATGTAATAAGTTAAGTTAGAAATTTGGTACTATAAGTGACAGTTCATAGATATAGAAAAGCTCAGACTTCAAACCATGCAAGTTTATTGTAACTCTTTACCCATCTCCACATCAGTGCCAGCAAATTCACCCTTTGAGAAAAACTCAAAATTTTTTTCTGCCAAAGATTAAGCAAAAATTATCAGAGTGAAAATTTGCAGTTAAGCTTAATGCCATAAATGTTTATTAGGCATTTCACTAGACTATTATCTTCTGCAAGGTGTGCTATATAGCAATCACTAGTAGCATTGTATTATCAAATACAAACAGAATGTAACCAACATGTCTTTAATTATATAATTACATGAATGTTAAAATGGTTTATGTGTCATGCTTACTGGTTATGATAAATATCTTTTCATATGATCAAAGCTGTTTAAATGTAAATCTAAAATAATTTAGTTTAGAAATTATAATGATCATCAGAAAAATTACCTAGTGATCATGAAAATACTTTGCTGTTTTGCCAAATTTCAAGGTTTATCTGCATACATAGGAAGACATTTTTACTTTATAAAAATGCTTTTCATATACATATCAATAGCCTTTGGAATTTATGGCAACAATCTGGTATGAGCCGTAGATTAACACACCTTTACATCTCTACATGAGGTGTTCAGTTAGAAAAGGGACAATATGTGACATGGGACAACATTTCATGTATGTGAAATACTCAGGTTTAATACCATTCCAGTCAAATTGTCAAAATAAAAGCTTCATGGATCATAAGACTCAAAATCACAGGTTATAGTAAACAGCTTCTCATGTAATCAATGTTAGTTTTCTCAAATCTTAAACAATATGTCGTATAACTGTCCAATGATTGAATGATCAATGATCATAAACTGAAAAGCCCCAAACATTTGTTTATGATAAAGTAAATAATAGTATGGCACCTTATGGCTACAGATTTTTTGTCCATTGAAATATATTTGCAGAAATGTAGGATTTCGCTGCCATATAACGGCCACGATTCCCCAAGCATTAAAGAAATCATAGCTAAAAGTCCTTCGGCAACAACAATTTTAGAAGCATCAATCTGCTTACCATACGCCATATTAACATAAATCGCATCACACTCGCATAAATTGACTTTGATATATTGCATTCATGCATACACTTCACTTGTCCTTTACTTACGATTTTCGATGTAAATTTCTGCTGATAAAATTCAAAACAATGTTGGCTTTCTTTTGAACATCAATGACTGAAATGTCGCTCGCGAGATCGTCTTTGCCAAGCATTTACAATTCATCCATAAATTTTTCACCCTCTTGAAAAATTCCCAGTTTGGAAAGCAGCATTCATGTCAACATATGAATTTGTAAAGATTTCCATAAATTCCATCTGATTGTAGTTTAGTTTCTATCATGCTTCAGAAAATTACTATGAACGATCAAACATTCAATTCAGACATTGAGCTTGACTATGTTAGTTCAGTTGGCTATCAGTCGAAATCGGTCAAACCAATCACAGTAAGACAAAATTCAAATGAACCAATTGTAAGATAGCAATTGGACTCCTTATAGGTCCGGCCACCCTATTATCGGTCGAGATTATTCCAGACTGTCCACTGATCTGGCCATTGACCAATAAAATAGCGTTTCTGGCGTTCATAGACTCCTTTATAAGTCGAACCAGTCAAGCCACCCCGCTTATCAGTCGGTTATTCCAGGTCAATTAAAATTCAACTGATCTGGTTACCAAGGAGATAATCATTGGATTAGTCATTAGTTTTCAATAATAAATAAAGCTGGATTTTTATCACGAAGTAAATGCGATAATAACGTAAGAATAATTAATGAATATTTAATTAATATGAATAGGTAATTTTTGAATTTCAAACATCTGTCGCGCGACGGATTTGACATACTCTAGACCGTCCCTGTGTGATAAACAAAAATGAATGTAAGTTAAAAGAAATGTATTATGTTTTTCTATCCGTGCAAACCAACTATTATTCTCAACTAAAGTGTTATTTTTTTCCTCCATAATCTCTTGAATTATCAGCGACTATAGAAACAAATGCTAAATGACCCAGTAAAATCGCATAAACTATGAAATTCTTTTTTCGTAAAAACTCGTCGTCTTCTCTCATAATCTAAATCACTCTTCACATGAAAGACGACGGCGTTGTCGACCTAGACCACCTCGGTCAAATCACGTCGTCTTTGACATCGCGTCCTCAAATATAAATCTATGGGTTAAAGAGTTTACGAAACTTATGTTTTTGACGACGCTGGGAGTTAATGCTAGTGCACATGCTTCCTGACATTTTGGCTGCTTTCTTTGGCGACGACGCCGTGAAAGCGTCTTCTTTAGGCGCGTCCTGCATATTCAAGATGGCGGATGAACATCAAAACACAAAAAGGTAGGAATCGAACAGTTTTAAGTGTTTAAAGCATTTTTTAGCAATGAGTTACTGTCATCTTCAGTTTGTACTGAGATAAGGGCAAATTATTTAACACACAGAGTACTAAATCGATTTTTTTTTAAAATTTTACAACTCAACTAATATTTTATTATATTTTTATATGCACGAAATATTATATATTTATAATTAGTTTATTTGTTTGGTTTCCTTTGCGTTCTTATTTATATTTGTAATTTTAGCAAAAAAGCAATGACTTGGACAAATGAACATAATGAAATTCTAGTTCGTGAAATGTACTTTTCAATTCATGGAACTTCAAAAAAGGATCACAGAAACGAGGTAATGCATGGTAAGATTGAATATTTTTGAACTTTTTACACAAAATATTCATGTATAAGGAGGTTGAAGTTCAAAAAACTGTTGTAGACCCATAAAAACAGCATCTTACATTATGAAGTAAGGTACAGCAAATATACATTTTCCCTACTGCACTAAGTTGTATTCTTAGGTTCTTTTTGAAGTCAAGGAATTTAAAATAATTAACTATGTCCCCAAAAATCCATTCGAAAGATACTCTTACACTGCTCATTGCTTTGTTCCATTGTTGCTGTTGAGGAGTTATTCTTGCTACCTTGCAAGTATTGCGCTCTCATGGCGTCTACCCTCCACAGGACCAAAGAGATTAGCCACAAGACCATTTGGAACAGAAACTGACTGGAATTTTATGGCATGGACTCTTTTATGGCCATTATAAAGAACTCTTTGATTTTGACCAGGTTTAGAAATTGGATGTACTGTCCTATCGACAAAACCAAAACACTTTTCTAAGGCACCACTCTTCTGAAACACTACATTACAAAATTCTTGAATGTTGCCTGAAGATAACCATGGTTGATCAAATGTTAACAGCAAACGGTTGCACTCCATGTATAAAAAGTTTATGACGGCATTACTGATCATACAGAGTTGAGGGACTGGTCTACCAAATCTTGGCAACATATCCTGGTATCGACAAGGGTAGGCAAAACGTTTCAAAAATATGCACAATGCCTCAACACTATCAACCGTAAGGCCGTTATAACATGTAGTAAATTGTGGTAGCCTCAAAGCATCCACATGAGTGTAAATGTGCGATTTCATAAACCAAAATTCTGCTTTACAATCGTCGTCGCTTAATTTACCTAAATCAAACTCTTCGTATTTCCAATAAGGCAAATCCGGAATTTTAGCAGTATTTAAGTTAAAAAGCAAAATAAAGTCTTCGTCGTCGATTGATTGATCCGAATAAGACATAAAAAGACGCTCTCGAATTGCTCTCAACTTCGGCATTTTTTGTTTTTGAATTTTTTTGAAAGCAATGTTTTCTGATTTATATTCCCGCCAATTATTTTTCCGCTGAGGCGGCATTGTAAATTTGCGTAAACTAAAAATACACTTGCTCCGGCGTTGTGAAACACAAGACGTCGCCGTCGTAAAAAACCGTGCAACGTAAACTCTCTATTATTTGCCTGAGGTAGCGTCCCATGTATTTTAGTTCAATGTGTAGTACTCGTTACCTTTGAATAAATTAGTCTTTGTAAAATGGCGTCTGCATAGTAATGCCTGGAAACTTTTACCGTTAAACAACTTTACCATATTTATGTGATTTGAAACGTCATTTTATTTGTCAGATAGCTGGCAGTAGCAAAGTCAGTAAACAAGTTTTGCGCGTGTTTGCAATAATTTTCATATATGACTCTAAGCGTGAAAAAAGCTGATTGAAAAATTTGATTATGATTTTAGTAAAATGCATTGAAAGATATATAAGTTGTCATTATGAGCAGTGGCGTAGCTAGCGGAAAACATTTGGTTGGCGCCGAGCGAGAAAATTTTCCAAATTTAGACTCCCTAGAACGTCGGAAACGGCTATCTTAGAAAGCAAATGCGTGATATTTATGCAGGAAATAGAACCATTTCGGTTAATTTAAATTGCCGAAGGATCTTATAGTAAAGCAGAGAAACAGTTCAAAAATAGTTGCAGATATGTGATTTATTTTCTCAACACCACATACATAAATAGATACCTATGTACATCTTGTAAAGAAACTTTGACAAAAGAACCGAAAAAGGCTCAGATTTGTCATCAACAACTATCAAAAGTTGTGATGAAATTGTCGTGCTGAAATGACAATCATCATTGACTGCATTAAAAAGTTCCCGGAAAAATTCTCACATGCCATGGACGTAAGACATCATCAGCTTGCTATCAGCCATATATGAATACCTATTTGTATAAGAAAGCAAGTCTTCGTGGTTTTTCAATGAACTTCTTTACTACCTCATCATGCAATGTGTTGGCGTCTTCTTTCTCTGACAGTATGTCTTTGTGAATGGAAATCCTGCAAAGAGAACTAAAACGTCCTTGGCTCATAGTATTTCTAAGATAATTTTTTTACCCTCTTCAAACAAGAAAATGACCTCTCAACTGAAGCACTTGTAATTGACATTTATCTTTAACAGTTTTACAACTTCTGGAATACTAGATTGATAATGGAACTGAAAAATATATTTCAATAATTCATCGCATGAATCACAGTGAAAGTCTTTATCTCTGTAAATAAAACAAAGTTGGCTAACTAGAATTGGTAAGTCAAACATATCACCATAAATCTCCATTAGAAGATTTATCTTTTCTGAGGGCACTTAAAAACGCTCCTTATCCTGAAATCGCTCAGTCAGCATAGTCACAATTGTGTCAAGAATTTCAAAAAACATTTGTTTGTAATTATGCCGTTGGTCATACCTGGTTACTGGTGGTCCCACTTTCTCAACAGCCAGGTCGTACACCTGACAATATTCTGTATCATTTCTCAGAGAAGCAACAAAGGCCTTGAATCTCTCAAACCTACTCATTCCATAATGAAAGTCAGTGTCCTTGTCTTGCAAGATAGAATAAAGTATGGATGACTGCTCAAGAATTCTCTGGAAAACATGTACCAAGAAACAAAACAAGAAGCCATTAAGGTAGCCAAGTAAACCAGTAACCTTACTTAACGTTTCATCATCCCAACCTATTGGATTATCAGTAAGATTTTCAAATATGTCTATCAGTTTCTCATAGTTAGAATGCAAGACATTGATGACATGAGCCTATAATACCATCTTGTGTCACCAGGACTAGGAAACTCAAGCCTATGGGATGATAGTAAAGCTTTTCTTTGGGGAATTGCTAGTAAAGGTGCAGAAAGCACTATTAACAAAGAAAATCTTAACAGGTGAGATGGAGGATGCAGCTTGACATAATACTAGATTTAGTCTATGGGCAGCACAGTGAACAAATTGAGCATAAGGATAATCCTGCTGAACTTGAGCTTGAACACCATTGAGATGACCAGACATAACAGATGCACCATCATAAGTCTGTCCAATAAATTTCTCTTTCACATTATTATATTGACTTAACTTACCCTTAACCACTGATGATATAGCAGTTGCAGTCCTATCACAACTAACATCAACAAACCCAAGCTGTCTTTCAATGACACTTTCCCCTTTGTCCATTCGAACAATTACACTCAATAGTTCTTTGGTAGAAACATCAGTTGCCTCATCAACCTGTATAGTTAAGAAATTGCAGTAATATATTTTTTTAAAATCTCATCCTCTATTATCTTATCAAGACAATCAATTAAATCATTCTGAATATCAGGAGAGACTCCAGTAAACCGCCCTCCCCCAGCAAGGTGGGTTTCAGCAAGCCTTCCATGTAATCGCCTTTCAAAAACAGAATCCATCTTGGCAAAACTTTCAAGTAGCTCTCTATAATTTCCTCTATTCATGCTGCTACTAGATTCCTCATGTCCCCCAAATGCAAGCTCTTGCCTAGACAAGTATAAAACAGCTTCTGTTATGGTTTTCAACTTTTCCCTGTTTTGCCTTACCTCCTCGTTATGACGCTGAATCTCTTCGTCTAGTTTGTGACATGAGACAGTCGATACTTGGCTGAAAACCATAGGTCTTCCAGGTCTTGTAGGCACCCATGTGCGATTTTGCCTTCTCATGCTTCTTACAATCGAATAAGAAATTCTTCATGTTTTTGAATGCCGTCTGCGTCCATAAAGATGACGATCCAGGGCAAAATAAAAGACAAGGCCAACGAAACAATGCATTCTTTTCTGAGCTACCACAAAGCCAATCTTTCTTCGAGTACCAACTTTCCTGAAAGCTTCTATTGCCTGTAGTCGCTTGTAAATTTGGAATTGGCCGCTGCCTTACGAGTATATTTTGCTCGCCTGATTGTCGAACAGGAAAGGGTTTCTTTTGTAGTTCACTTATAATATCGATTTCATTAGCCGAAGCCATTGTAATGTAAGTTATGAGGATTTCCGAACGTATAGTTCGAAAGCTCAAAATTCAAGTCACGCTTTTGAAAATGAGCCCGACTAGATGTACTACTGTGAAGGTACTACTGTGAAGGTACCACAGGAGTCATCCTGACATTCATCCTGACATTCATCCTGTGATTGTACTACTGTGAAGGTACCACAGGAGTCATCCTGACATTCATCCTGACATTCGTCCTCACATTCACCACAGGATTCACCACAACATTCAAAATTAGCATAAAGTGTGAAGTTGACACCACATTCATTTTAATATTATTAAATAACATCAGTTTCAGAAACAAAATAGAAAAAAACCGTATTTTTTGCTACAAAAAAGCAAAAGATGCACACGTGTTTGGTGCCGTTGTAAAGACCAAGTTATTTAGACAAGGATTATACTATTTTTATTTTGGTCGAAAGTCTTGGAGCAAATCTACAGCCTTTTAAAGACTACTTCCGCTTTTGTCTCTTTACGTTAAATAATTGCGCGATGTTTACAATGCATAAATGTTGACATCTAAAAAGGCCTAATTTTCAAGAAATAAACACGCTGGAAAATACTTGTGTTTGGTAACATCCGAAAGTACGTTTTCTGAGGATTTCAAATATATCTTTACTTTTGTGGCTCAAATTCGTGGAGCGAATCTACAGCCATGCAAAGTGGACTGTGAAGGTACCACAGGATTCAAGATAGTACGGTTTTTATACGGTAAACACGCTACAATTTACTTGTGTTTAGTATCGTCTTAAAGATCTTGTTCTGAGGATTACAAATATGTCTTTATTATTGGCCAAAGTCCAGGAGCGAATCTACAGCTTTGGAAATGTGGAGATTTTGCGTTAATTAATAGGCAAGTTGTCATGTTGCATTATTTCACTAACGTCTAAATATGCCGGGTTTTGAACTAGTTAACACGCTGCAATATACTCGTATTTGGTATCAGATTAAAGATCTTGCTATGAGGATTACAAATATATCTTTATTATTGTGGCCGAATTTCCAGGAGCGAATCTACAGCATGAGAAATGTGGAGACTTTTTGCGTTAATTAATATTCGCGGTACTTAACTGACATGTTTATATATATCAAATTTTCATGAAGTTAACACGCTACAATTTACTTGTGTTTAGTATCGTCTTAAAGATCTTGTTCTGAGGATTACAAATATGTCTTTATTATTGTGGCCGAAATTCCAGGAGCGAATCTACAGCTTGAGAAATGTGGAGACTTTTTGCGTTAATTAATAGGCAAGTTGTCATGTTGCATTATTTCACTAACGTCTAAATATGCCGGGTTTTGAACTAGTTAACACGCTGCAATATACTCGTATTTGGTATCAGATTAAAGATCTTGCTATGAGGATTACAAATATATCTTTATTATTGTGGCCGAAATTCCAGGAGCGAATCTACAGCTTGAGAAATGTGGAGACTTTTTGCGTTAATTAGTATTCGCGGTACTTAACTGACATGTTTATATATATCAAATTTTCATGAAGTTAACACGCTACAATTTACTTGTGTTTAGTATCGTCTTAAAGATCTTGTTCTGAGGATTACAAATATGTTTTATTATTGTGGCCAAATTCCAGGAGCGAATCTACAGCGAAATGTGGAGACTTTTGCGTTAATTAATATTCGCGGTACTTAACTGACATGTTTATATATATCAAATTTTGATGAAGTTAACACGCTACAATTTACTTGTGTTTAGTATCGTCTTAAAGATCTTGTTCTGAGGATTACAAATATATCTTTATTATCTTGGTCCAAATTCGTGAAGCGGTTCTACAGCTTATGAAATAGTTTTCTTTTTTGGTTTAATTAATTTGTGCGTTATTTAAATGAGATGTACTTACGTCTAATTTTGAAGTAGTGGTAAACACGCTGCAATCATTTTTCATTGGGTACCATTTTAAAGATGTGATTCTGAAGATTGGAAAGATGTTCTGATTATCGTGGCACAAGTTCGAGGAGAGAATCTACGGCTTATGAAAAGAACAACACTTTTGTGCTATATAATTTGTTGCAATATAGAACATATTTGTCTTATTTATTTCGTCGAATTGTTGAGTTTATGCTAATTTATGCAAACGTCATTTTAAGAATTTCACGGTTTAAAACCTTTGTCGTATCCTGTGTTTGCGTCTTTCTTGACTGACCGTTGAATCGTTGATGTCAACGGTTTTCCTGTATTATCGAAGCAATTATTACTTTTGCGAGAAAAGTTAATTCAGGATTATATTTAAATCTTTTGTGCTCTTCTCGTTTTCGTGTAACGCTAAATGATGAAGGTACGTTATCGCTTCTTCTTGTCTTACGGTCGTTCATGTCCTTTATCATTCACTGCATTTGTTTGTGCTTTTCAGCGCACTGCTGGTCGTCCATCGAAATACACGTTTTACGTGAATGCAATTGTTGCAGCTATGTCAAATGTGTCTGGCGACCAAAACAATTCTTACAGAAAGTCAAATAGCTTCTGGGGGAAAATTTTAGTTGAACTTGGGATTAGAAACAAATTGCTAGCACGGAAAAACCTATATCTTCGCTGGCACGATAACCGGAATGGCATGCGATCTGCAATCGAGCATGGGCGATTTGAGGTACGCAAAGGATATTTAGGCCCGGTTCAAACGTCGCATTTTACATGCGCCGAATCAAATCTGAGTTTTAGTCGACTAAAATAGTTTAATGCGTAGTTTGATTCAGACGTCGAATTTAATAGTCGCATTTATTATAGTTATGCTTCCACTTTTTCATAGTTTATTCATTTTCTTGTACTAATTTCCTAAAATGGCGAACAGAAAAATGTAGAGTTTATGCATTTCAAATATGATTCGTGTTAATAGGAAAAGACGAATATTGATGCATGCTTCAGCAAATAAACTATTAGAAACGAGACGGCAGCTTATGCAAATTTCCCATGTTTTTCTACCGTTAATTGGTCAAAAAAAAGCCTTCATACGTAGCCCTCCTTATCGATCATGTCGAAGACAAGTAGAAATTCCGGCTGGTGGAAGAAAGTTTGGAGTATTTATTCTGATTCAAAAAAACATTTCGTGTATCTCGAGGAAACTTTCCTTGTACATATAAATTTTTTGCACTTTAAACAAGTGTATTTTGTTAAACTTGTGCACGAAATACAAGGGCCATTACCATCACTCGCCGCCGCCATGTTTTACAACTTTGCGCATGGCATTTAGCATGGAAATAATTGTTTTGCTTAGAAATATCTTAAAATAAATTATGCATTAAATTCGGCTCATGTAAAATGCGACGTTTGAATCAACATCGAATTTCCGTCGAATATTCGACTAACTCAGTCGAATATGCGACTAAAGTCGCATTAAATTAAAATCCGTCGAATTTAATTGATTCAAACGTCGCATTTTACATGCACATAATTCTCGCATTTGATTCGGCGCATGTAAAATGCGACGTTTGAACCGGGCCTTAATTTCATGTATTGATCATTCGTTTGAAGTAAACGGTTTATGAATTTTGGGCGGTTTGAAAATTATCTTAAACTTTCTGATTGGTTGTTTGTGTAAAGATTACGAATTAATTATTTTTCAAAACGTAATGACCGTTTGAATATTTGTGATATCTTCTGCGCATGCGCTGATTGATAACCGATGTTTGTGCTTGAGAAATATTCAAAGCGAAAGCAAGGCCAAAAATTTTCTGCGAACTTAAATTAAAATGCAATTTGTCATTTGAGTTATTAAGATTGTTGTATTTTTGCTGTATTTGATGCGTCGCTCGCTCAGTGCATTGTGATCGAAAATTTATAGCATTTTGTACTTCGTGATGTTATCAGTACAACAAAGACCTTGTATAATTCATCGATATATAGTTGCATTATATGAAGCGTTAATCCTCACTTAAAGACGAAATAAAAGTTACATCGTCGAAAATATCGCTAACCTATTTATGTAAAACGCAAAAGTTACGTAATATGTACAGTTCAGAAAATTGTTTTAAAAGAGTTTTTGAGGATAAAGTATTCACAGCAAAAATGGTTTTCGATGCATGATCTTTTGGACTTTACTTTTCTCAATAAGCACAGTCACGTGACATGCAATGTAATGAAGGGCGTCTTGTAAATGCAGAATTGTTTAGATAGTTATCGGACCCACATGTGTGCATCGCTTAACTTTATTTTTAAGGCTATTGCACTATTTTTGAGGGATTAGCTCCATAAAAATTTGCGTGTATCTATACCATAGGCAAAATATGCCTCACTTGCACTAAATTATGTAATAATTCAATTTTTAATTAAGGTTTTTAAGTCGCTATATGCAAATAAATACATTGATAATGTACACTCTATCGGGAATGATTTATACAAAAAGTTTTGATTTGGGTAATGCATTTCCATAAATCTGGGACTGACGGCAATCGTATTTTCAACTTCAATTTTAATCTGAAATGTCTAAATGTCCAAGAAACGTTGTTTTTTGGCATATTATTTACATATTTGGCTATTTATGTCCAATCAATTTTAGTAAATTCATCTTTTGAGCGTAACGTCAGTGAACATTGAATATGGAGAAATTGTATTGTAGCACATTTATCAACTTCGTTAACTATTTCTTTTCTTTTGTTTTTCTTGACGGCGCTTCCAGCATTCCTGTTGGGGTATGGTGGGGAGGAGGGAAGGTCATTAGGAACCTCACACCTTTTTTGTAGCATGTGACAGGGATTTGAAAACGCGTAATCTTGGAAGTCTCACATTCTGTATAAATAAGACGCATGCTTATAGCCTTTAAAATAAAAGAGAATATTTACGTCGAATAGATGTTGCATATCCTTGCTGTAATGTGAGGAGGGTGGCGGTGGCAGGTGAAACTTGAGTCTACAAATATAAGGTTCATGCAAGTTAAAATCGGTTGCTCATGTGTTCAGAGAATATTCTAACCATTTTAGGTGCCCAAATATAAATCTTTATATAAATTTTTGATTTTTAGATCTTTAGACATAACGTAATGGTTGAATTGTAAATATTTCAATATTGTTGTAATCATTAATATCGCCTTTTTTTATTTTAAGCATATTTAATTATTAATATCTTGAAATAGTTTATTACA